GAATTTAATATGGGCTTAAATTTTATAACTCAACCCATCCCATTTTTAATTAAATATGGGCCAACCCGATGGGCTAAGCCCATATTGACAAGTCTACTCATAGATCTCAATTCTCCCTCAATTCCTCAAAACAACCATTAGTAACAATATAGATAATAATAATATTATTATTATAATATTTATAGTTTTGTTTTTTAGGGATGAGTTACTATTAATCTTTTACTTCATGTCTTTTGGGTAAAAAAACATAGTAAAGGTTAAGTAAAAGGGTGGAATCCCAAACCATCAGCTTTTTACTAAAGGACTTCACGTGATGTCTCATGGAATTGGTCTCACGGGATCAACGACAACAGGCTTTGGCTTGGGGTTGGGGAGGGTGTAAAAAAGGGCCAAAAGGAGGGAATTAAGGGCCGTTAAGTCCGGCTGCTAGTAACTACATGTGGACCTCAGTTGTTTTATTCTCTGCCGCTTTCTTCCCTGTCCCTGGGGTCCGCCTCTTGCCTCTTCTTTTCAACCTGCCACAGCTCGAAGCCCCACCCTCCACGTGGCTTGTTCTCAGATTACCAGCCACTCAACCCACGCCCGCCGTCGTGAAGTCGTCTTGTCCAAGTAAGTTTTTATTAGGAAGTTTCATTCTTGTAAATTTTTAATTACAGATAACATGCCGGGCTGGCAGCAGCTATGGCAGGTGGTAACTGCCAACTAAACCAAGAGGGGCCAACTGCCGAGTAATGTGTCAGGACACGTTACACGAAACGAGTAACTCAGAAGGGTTCAGTGGGTCACAGGGGAAAACCGAGTTTGTGACTACTGTATTTCACGATTTAGAATTACAGCCAAAAGTAGAATAACGGCTAGGGCCGCGCCCACTGCGCGCCCACACCTTCTGATTACGATGGCCCCTTTGGCTTAGGGTGCCTCGTCCACCCCCTTAATAATGTTCCCTAGAGTTTCGTCCTTTTCTTCTTGTTCCTTTCCTTTTGTGCAATCATTAATTAGATACTGTAGCTACTCCCATAGCATAAACTTACTATAATAAATTAAATTTATTATTTTTAAAAGTTTTATTATCTTAATGCTATCCAAACTAAATTTTAAAATATTTTAATCTTATTTAATCAAATCAAGTAATACAAAATATCCAATTACAAAGTACTAATTAATATTTTTATTACTTGAAATCAAATTAAACCATTGAAACATCAAGAATAATTTAATTTATAATTTGTACAATTATTAGTATTGTTATGTTAACACTCACCAAATTCAGAATCTCTCTCTCTCTCTCTCTCTCTATATATATATATATATATACACACAATATTAAACATAAAACCTATTTTATAAATATTAAGTATTTCATATGACATTTTTCATTGCTCTCTAAAAAAGAAATAGTTACTATAAAATACTTCTCACCATAATTGAAGAATACCCAAGTTGCAAGACAAAGTTATGCTTAAAATTTTTTTTAATGTATTTAATTGTTTATTTAACTAGTCAGTGAGAAGCGTAGAGCTGAAAATTTTGTTCATAGAATCTGCTGTAGAAATTTATATTCATTGGTCAGCCCATTACTTACAGTTGCAGTATTCCGGTAGGAGAAAAAAAAACAAGCATCTTTATTAAATGTGCTTCATTATGGAACCTGTTTTCTTTTACTTTGTTTAATCTAATGAAATACTTACTTACTTTAATTAATCATAAATTATTCATTTATGAAGAAAAAATAAATTATTAGAATTAAGATTATTTTTAAAAAATCTATTGTAATAATAAAGATTAACAAAGTCCTTTTCGTTCACAATTTTAGAAAGATAATAATCCATCAACAATTTTTGTTAGACTAAGGTTTGTGTTTGGTTGGAATTTGGACGCCAACAAAACAATTGTCCCCATTGCGACATTAGGAGCAGCACAAGTACTTTTCCATCTGAAGTTAAATATTAAGGAGAGATTAATAATTTTTTTAGTGGATTAAGTAAACGTCCTATTTATTTTTTTTATTAATGAGATTTATACACAATTTGTGTATAATAGTTATACACTATCATTTAATTATAAAGTATTGTTTTATAAATATATAAAAATAATTTATTATTAAGGAAATCGTAATATTTAATATATTGATAATATATAAAATTTATATAATCCGATGTAAATATTTTATTTATTTTTAATAGGAAAAATTAAGAAATAAGAACCTTCTAATGATTTATCAGCCGTGTGTGTTTTTTAGTGGAGTTCCGAACACAAAAGAAAAGCAAGTTGGAATGGCAAATTTGGAAATAAAGGAAAAATGCGATAGCAATTTAAACGGAAAGGAAACCTAACTGCCCAGATATGAACGTAGCTGAGTGCTATCTACTCCGCGTGAAAACCTGCTAGAGCCGGTAACCACGCGGCGCTGGTCTCCATCCCCAAAATCCCCAATTTTATCTCTTTCTTGGAAAATCCTCATCTGCCCTTTTTCTCAATAAGTAAGAAAGCGAAACCCACAAATATCCAGTCTCTCTCTCTCGCCTTCTCCATCCTCTTGAGTAAAACTAAAACCCCCAGGAGGAGCATCAGCAGCAGCAAAGCAATGGCCGCCCCCTCCCACTCGCTCACTCCATAACCAAGCTAGAGCTATACCCATTGAAAAATGCATTCCTCTTTCGCCCTTCCTTTCCATTTCTATTTCCCAATTCCTTCCTCTCCTTGTCTTTCCAGAGCTCTCGTCGGCGCCAACCACACCTCCGCTCGCTTCTGCTCTCGTTAACCCCGCCTCCCTCTGCTTTCGTCCTCTACAGATTTGCCCCTTTTTTCTGATATAAATATTTTTT